TACATAATGTGCCAAGGTCACATTTTTACTATATGACAGACCTTGATTTGAAATCCTAGGTGTGTCCAATCCCAGGTACAAATTCTTAATCATAAACAAATCAGTTTATTGCTTTAAGAAGCTCACAGGGGGTATGTCAATCATGAAATCTATTAATGTTCACTGTGCAACATGGTGATCAAATGCTGATCTGGTGGATGCTCAGACAAGACTCTCTGGGTGGGAAAAGAGTTGCAAGAGCCAGGGAAGGTATAGTTGAATACTTTGGTGCCAGTGTAATGTGGAACTTTCAATATCCTGTTCTGGAGTTACATTGTCTGTACTTCAAACTGTTGTAGGCTTCTTTGGAAAAAATGATTCAATATTTCAACATAGCAGTTTTTCCATCTATCAAAAGGGAATGAAAACAACATGTATTATATCAGGTCCATGGGATGATTTAATGAGTTAAATCGTATCATGTGTTTAGACCAGTGTTTCGCATATAGTAAGCATGCAATAAATGTCATATTTTTAATCTATGAAAACATAGAAGGTTATCAGCGTGGATTAAATGTTGGCAAAAATGGCTTTCTAAAATGAAGGGACACAAATGCCTATAAGGAAGAAAGTGACAGAGTCAAAATCTTGAGACATTCTATAGGTTGAAATTTTGGGGTTTCTTTGTGGAGAGGAAGGTGGTATTATCACATGACAGGAGAGGGAGATAGTATCATAACATCAACAGCATAAGACCTTCGTATTAAAGAATTTGTACTTAGAGTTCTCATCAGTAAAATGGCAGAATTTGATGATATGATAGAGTGACCCCTGGCAGCTCTATTAATAACCAAAATCTATAATTCCTGTACTCTATTATTGTAAAATGGATGGAATGGACTTGTGAGTCTTTTTTAATATACCTGGCCACTGGGCACTCTTACTAAAGAATCCTTAATCAGTTGATGTAAATAGTGAACTTAACATATAATATCATCAAGTTTAGTCATGATTGTATCCCTGTAAGAAGATAATCCAAGCAGTCAAACCACTGTGACTCAGCACTACAAATGCTCCTGCTGAATAGAGGAAGCAATTCGTCGGCTCCTCTGTGAACCTTTTGAGGTTAATACCAACTGAGCCTTCATAGGCAGTGGACACAGGATTGAGACGGGGCTTGGGAGAGCTGGTCTGGACCCTCCCGTTGCATCAGACACCTGGCAAAGGGAAGGAACGGCCACCCTTCACATGGGATATCACCATGGCAGAGAACTGATGTCACCAGAATGCAGTGGAGGAGATAGCTTCATTGAAATTGGTGGCTGCAGGTGTGTAACCCCCTAGCCCTCCCTCTCCACACAGCGGGGAAACTTCAACTTGTTGGTATTCAAAAGACAGTGACCACATGAATTAATTGATGCTGAACACCCTGAAACAGAGTAAAATAAAAGTCTACTCATATAAATCAGGACTTTTCTAATACAGGTGAAACAAGTAATTATTCCAAATTAAAGCACCCTAATAATTTTAGTCTTGTTTGATTAGTTCTTCCAAATGTTTCAAAATAATTACCTATTCCTTCAATATATGGAAATAAAAAAAGAACATCAAGAATTGGATGGCTGTGGCACTCCCTTCTTTCTGAGAGAGTGAGGCATGCCAACACCCACATATGAACAGAAATAGAAGAAAACCGAGCTAATCTGTCATCATTCCCATCCAGACTGGGGCAAAATAATATAACATGCCTAAATCACAATGGAAAGGATTCCAAAGGTAATTTACATGTTCTGGGGAATGCATTTCAACACTGGAGTGCCTGTGGATTTGTCTGACATTCTCAGATTTAACGTCATAATAAATTTGCAAACACATACACACACACACAGCCACACAGATGCAAGTACCCTTTTTTAAAAGAAATTAAGAAAACAATACTTTCCCTCCGTGTTATGGTTTAGATATTAGGTGTCTCCCAAAGGCTCATGTGTGAAACAATGCAAGAAATTTAGAGTGAAATGATTGGGTTATGAGAGTCTTCAACTAATCTACTGCATTAATCCACTGACAGGGATTATCCATAGTCAGGTAAGGTGTGGTTGGAGGAGGTGGGTACCTGGGGATGTGCCTTTAGGGTTTATATTTTATCCCTGGTGAGGAGAGCTTGCTTTCTCTCCACTTCCTGGTGGTCATGGCTTTCCTCCACCACACACTTCTGCCATGGTGTTGTGCCTCATCTCAGATACCAAAGAATTGAGTCAGCTGTCTATGGACTGAGACCTCTGAAATTGTGAGCCCCCAAATAAACTTTTCCTCCTCTAATTGCTCTTGTCAGGTCTTTTGGTTGCAGCAGTAAAAAAGCTGACTAAAACACTCCATGACTCTTTCCTCAGTAATTTTGACTTTTGATTTAAAATTAAAGTAAGCAATTTCATATAAAATCTGAGCTCCCAATAGTAACTTTAGATTAGCAATGAAGTTAGAAACACAAATAACAAATACAAGCACAAATTGATCAAATTATAAGAATTTAATATTTAAAATATTACATTTTATGATATTTGTTTGAAATGGAGTTATCACGAGAAAGTGCATTCCAATTCATAACACAGTGTGTTTCTATAAATTGGAAATAAATCAGAAATACCCAGGCCCATGATGAAAGTTTGAAAGGGGCAAGTGTGATTACCTCCCCCTATTCCACCAGCAAGTCCTGTGTCTTTCAGGGTTTGTGGATACCTGACCAGTAATTTATTTATTTATTTTTAATTTTTTATTAGTTATTGGTGGACCTTTTTTTCATTTATTTTTTTTATATGTGATGATGAGAATCAAACCCAGTGCCTTTCACATGCTAGGCAAGTGCTTTACCACTGAGCCACAACCCCAGCCCCATGACCAGTAATTTATAATAGTAGACTAATGTTCTAAGTTTTATTGTTTTAGGAGTTAGATTTGAACTGAGAAGTAAAGTGAATATTAAAAATCCAATAAGAAATTCTTTTTCAGTGATACTGATTTTATTCACATTTCATGAATGTGTTCTATGCTTTGTTAACAAAAATGTATAGTTTTAAATCTAAAAGTGAATTATGCAGTTTTGAAATATTGATTAAAAAACTATCTTTCCCAAAAGCTTGTTACAAGGCTCAGTTAGAGGGGATGGGCAATATTTTGTATAACATTGAGGTTTACTTGATGTTTTGTTTCTCCTCTTTTTTTTTTTTAATTTTTTATTGTGGGTTGTTCAAAACATTACAAATTTCTTGACATATCATATTCCACACTTTGATTCAAGTGGGTTATGAACTCCCACCTTCACCCCATACACCGATTGCAGATTCACATCAGTTACACATCCATTGATTTACAAATTGCCATACTAGTGTCTGTTGTGCTCCGCTGCCTTTCCCATCCTCCACCCTCCCCCCTCCCCACCTCTCCCCTCCCCTCCTCTCTCTCTACCCCCTCCACTGTATAACCCTGAGGGTCTCCTTCCATTACCGTGCAATTTCCCTTCTCTCTCCCTTTCCCTCCCACCTCTCATCCCTGTTAAATGTTAATCTTCTTCTCCTGCTCTTCGTCCCTACTCTGTTCTTAGTTACTTTCCTTATATCAAAGAAGACATTTGGCATTTGTTTTTTAGGGATTGGCTAGCTTCACTTAGCATAATCTGCTCTAATGCCATCCATTTCCCTGTAAATTCTATGATTTTGTCATTTTTTAATGCAGAGTAATACTCCATTGTGTATAAATGCCACATTTTTTTTATCCATTCATCTATTGAAGGGCATCTAGGTTGGTTCCACAGTCTTGCTATTGTGAACTGTGCTGCTATGAACATTGATGTAGCAGTGTCCCTGTAGCATGCTCTTTTTAGGTCTTTAGGGAATAGACCAAGAAGGGGAATAGCTGGGTCAAATGGTGGCTCCATTCCCAGCTTTCCAAGAAATCTCCATACTGCTTTCCAAATTGGCTGCACCAATCTGCAGTCCCACCAGCAATGTACAAGTGTACCCTTTTCCCCACATCCTCGCCAGCACTTGTTGTTGTTAGACTTCCTAATGGCTGCCAATCTTACTGGAGTGAGATGGTATCTTAGGGTGGTTTTGATTTGCATTTCTCTGACAGCTAGAGATGTTGAGCATTTTTTCATGTACTTGTTGATTGACTGTATGTCCTCCTCTGAGAAGTGTCTGTTCAGGTCCTTGGCCCATTTGTTGATTGGGTTGTTTGTTCTCTTATTGTCTAATTTTTTGAGTTTCTCCTCTTTTTTTTTAAAGAACAATGACTATTCTTCCCACCAAACTTGGAACAAGAATCATAGAACAACAACAACAAAAACAACAACGTCAAAACACAGCCAAACAAACAAAATTAAAAAGTAAAAACATCCCAGATTGTTTTGGAGTTGTAACAGGCAGGTTACTGTCTCAAGTTTTCAAAATCTTTGGCTTCCATATTGATGTTACCATGCTAAAAAAACTAAAAGGGGCACAAAGAGAAGAACAAAGATTTACCTATTAGGATCCTCATAGGTCTTGAATCTTTCTTTCTACTTATTTTAATTGGTTTACTGACTTATTAATGAAAGGATCTAACGAATGTTTTGAAAAAGCATGAGTTAAACATGAAATATTAAGGTGACAATGTTATGTTATCATAGTTTATACATCATAAAGTATGTGCAAATTATCAATTTTTTTTCAATAATTAGATCATTTTCTTAAAAATAGATAATCTCACCCAATTATTAAGAAATGAAAAAGTGCAATTAACAATGTGCCACTAATATGTTCAATACTAGTATAGATTTTATGGTACAATTAGTAATTCAATGACTTTAATGAAAGTTTTCTAGACAAAAAACCAATTTACTTCAAAACAATTTTAAGCTGCTACCACAAAGTATGAGTTGATCCTTTGGCTATAATAAAACCAGAGAACATACAATTCAAAATTGTTTTTAGTTTTATTAACAAGTCATGTATAGTTTCTTTTAATTAATAGCTAAAGATTTTGTCATGCTTCTTAATATTAAAAAAGTAGTATAACTGGAATTCAGTTTGCAAAAAGGTCATTCTGAAACCTGATTTCTTCTTCATATTTGGTGTTTGAGAATTCTAGGGCTGTCATATTTTAAAAAGGAGCAGATAAATGTTTGAAGTATTCATATTTGAAGAAAATACAGTAATATATGAAACCACAAAAGAACACAACAAATCATTTTTTCCTAAGGTTTAATTTCAACTTACAAATTTTAAATGAGGATTGTAATGCCAATCCAAGTTTTTGCTTATTTGCAATGCACAAAATATTTTTTTATAACTTGCAGGTGAAATATTCCTTTCACCACAGTATTTTTTACCCTTATTTATGCTCTCTTTTTAATATTTTTCCCCTTGAGTCTTTTTTTCTTCAACAGTTTAACACATCACTTCTGGTTCAGCTACAGAGCAATCCTAGAACAATAATGTTTCAACTTGCAAGGAAGAACACCCTTCTTGAGTTGGTAGAACTCCACTAGCTGGATTAGATCCATAAATCTAGTGTGGCCATCATCTAGCGTGTGGAACATTTCACCATCATCTTCCACCTGCAATAGGAAAAACAACAAGCTGGTAAAGAGGGTAAAGAATCCAGAAGGATGATGGTTGTTCCACTGCAAGCTATGTTTTCATGCCAAAATTGACAAGTTTATTAAAATAAGGACTATGCAGAGAACGGCATGGCAGCCCACTTCTTTAATTTCACTTACATTTAAAAGAAGTATCATATGATCCTTGGATAAGAAACATGCCTCCACTCTCTCTGCATCTAATTCTCCCAGAGTTCTGTTTAGTTAGTATAGTTTAACAATTTTGAGTCAATGAACAGAGAGAAATCTGTACTATTCAGTGTAAAAGTAGACAGGAGATTTTAATGCTTCCATGTACAGAAATTAATTTCTATTTCTAAACATTGTCTACTTAATGCCTCAGTATATTAAAATGACTAGTCATATAATTTTTATCAGGAAATTCATTCTGAAGCAATAAAATATTATGCTAATGGAATGTCAGTTGGCTTTTTTTGTTTGGTGGTGAAGTCTTCTAGCATTAAAAGCTCATACTTGCTGGGGACACTGATCAAATAATCAAAGAAGCAGGGTTGGTACTCTATATGGCCTCTGGATGATTTACAAAAGAGGCAATTCAAAGGAAAGCATTAGTAATTTAAATAAGACCTTCCTGAAAGTAGATTGAATCTGTTTTACTCTGCCTGATTCCAATGTGCACATCACATATGTACATATGTGCACATGCTGACACACAACAGCAGAAGCAAAAAAAAAAAAAAAAAAAGCAAGTTGTGCCAGCCAGAAACAGAGTCACAGATATTTTAAAAATGTTCCCAGGATTATTTAAAGTCCACAAATTTCACAGTTCCTGTGTTTCTATACAAATAATTTAAAACAAATGAACTACCAACAATAATAGCAAAAAAATGTCTTTGAGAGAAGAGAAGAGAAAAGGTTTTAAAATAATGTTTTTTTAAAGGAATGGTTAGAACTCAGAAAAAAGAATCTTTAGTGGCCTTTTAACAATAGGTGGCATGGGGTCTATACAATATTGCTAAATCTTATTTCGTGGAAAAAAGATAAATTTAATTTTTACAATTCCTGTATTTCTTATATTAATTCAGGCTCATAAAACCATTTCTGCCAAACTTAACTCTGGTCAAAGCACAAGCACCTAACATTATATTTAATAAATGGAACAACAGAAAAACAAAGTTTCCAAAAGCTTAGAATGTGAAATCACAAATTACTTAGTGGTATAATATGAAAGTGTTTTATTTTTTGTCCATGACTCATTGACAGGACGAAAGTTTTGTGGTTATTCTGACTGCCCCTTACCAAGAAAACTATAAAAAGAGAGAGGAAGAATTTCAATACGTTTCTATATTTACTCACAGATTTCATAGAAACATAGCATGTAACAAACCCAGAATGTGTACTCATAAAAGCTGTAGCTGGGATCTCCTTAACTGTGTATTCAGTGGGTATGATTATTCAACTTGGTGAATGATATGTTACAACATAATCTCATACTACAAAACTGTCATCAGTGCTAATGTAATTTTAATATGATAAATACACAGTCTATTTGTGACATTGTTTGCTTACAATACCCAGCAAAATATTCCGTTGGCATCAACAATTCATGTTGTCCTTTTTCCACTGGGAAATTGGGTATTCCCATGTAACTAACAGAAAGAATAAGGGATGAGAACGAATAAGGGATGAGTGTGTGTATATATATATATATATATATATATATATATATATATATATATCATAATGATTTAGAGTAAAATCATTTTTACCCCCTTTTCTACACTTGGTCTGCTTTTTATTTTGATTCTAGCTTCTACTGTTACACGACAGAAAATAAGAAATGCTATATCCTTAAAATCCATATTTAAATTGTTTATTAAATGTTTAAGTAAAAATGTTTCAAGTTGAAAAAAATATACCCAACGTGCACTTTAACCTTGAAGAATGCAGTGGGAAAGCCTCTATTAATGTCAGGTTACAAAAAGAAGATGTGGTCTAATGGTCTCAGAGAAAAAGGCTTCCGGGTATGGATTCTTATTTACTGTCAATGCAGTGAAAAGCCAGTTTTGTATTAATTACTGGCAAAAACACTGTGTATGTGGTCCCCACTGGTGACTTCAATACTAATCTCACTGTGCCTGGGCAAAGAGTCAGCCAAATCTGAGGCATCACAGATGTCTGATGAAATTATCCATTTTATTTGTGAGACTCTGACATTACATCATTGGGAGACAGGACAAAGGCCCCTTCATGGAAAAATTAAGCAGTAATTCTTCCTCTTCCCAAGCAGATCACCATTACCACCTGGTGGACCACCTGACACCTTCACAACTTTCCAAAGGAATACCAAAATTATAGAAACAGGCATGATTACTTTGTACAATTATTTTCTCCAGGTTACAAATTCATAAATAAAGGGAATTATAATCTTCTAAGACATTTAAATCATTCTTTATTATTTTTTCTTTTCCTGACATCACTGGATTGTAACTCTGATCACTGTTCAAATTTATATCCAAAACTTGACCATGCTCCAAGCAGAGAAGTATATTAAAATCCTTTCTTATTTAGACTCTGATGAAATGCTGACTTGTTATTAATAATCTTCCACATGAAGATGCATTTTTACCCAATGTCAGTATTAAATCTCCTCAAACCCTTGTCGTCATCTTAAGTCAACCTTTGAAGACAAAAGATTCTTTCTCCAGTTGTTTAAACTGACAATGGTTTCATTTCTCATCCAATCCTCAATAAAATGTTCTCATTGTACTGCATTTGGGAAGGAACTTAGCAGTATTAAAGTACCTGAAACTGAGTAATGTGAGAAGAAAATCCTTCAGATTATAAATCTCTCATAAAATATTTTATGCTTCTCCTGTGTACTCCATGGTATCCCATTAAAAGATAACACCAAAAAAAAATCATCAAAAAGTACACTTTTAATATATTCATATTTTTAAGCTGTTAACATTTAGAGAAAAAGCAATAGGGATGTAAACAGAAATAAAAGCAAACATTGAAAAAATCAGAAAAAAATTTTCTACTTAATATACCCTGCATTATACCTAAATAGAATTACAATGTATAGGATAATGTCATAGTGTAAATCATATTTTAGAATCATATTAATTACTTGTTCAAATTGAAACATTGATACACAAAAACAAGGTTAGTTTTTTTCCTCTCATGAATTAATATCTAAAATTCTAGAATTGGCACAGAATGGATAACATTAGTGCTCCTAGGCAAGAAAAAAGAATACTATTCTCTTCTCTGTTAATTTATACACAAATACTAAGCACACTCTGTGTACTGGGTATTATACAGATATTGCTAGAATCCAGTGATAGCTACTCATACAGAACAAAGTCATTTCTGTGTTATGATAAGCCAAAATTAAAAACACTTGCTGTGCACTGAATAAATGATTATTATTTACTGGAAAAATCCAAACCCAAATTCTACTCTAAAAGTATCAAACTTACCCATCCACAAGTCCTTGCTGAATAATCAATCGCTGAGCTTCATCTCTGGAAATCTTGTGGTGAAACCATGGCTGGGACCGATGGATGGCTAAAGAAATAAAATGAATGAATACAAAGGTTTGCTTGCAGTGACTGCAATTTCACTACATATATGTCCCCCATCACTTAGTGACCACATGTCACTAAAGTCATGTCAAGCTGCACATCAGCTCAGTGACCATGGCTAGGAGCAGACATACCCACGTTTGTGGCAGAGGTCTGTGAGGAGGCAGTGGGGCTACTGTGACTGCCCAGTTGCAAACATCCTTTTTTTCTGAGCAAGGAATGGGAAAACAAATCTCAGTTTTGAGGGTGAAACAAATTCAAATTAAAAATTCTTTCAAGAAAGTGAAATTATGAGTACCCTCCAAGCGAGTCCTTCTTCAACTGCAACTGAAAGAGCTTCAGTGGGATTTTCTATAACTCTGCTTTTCTGACCTGAGAAGTCCATTGCTACCAGGGAGTTCTCTGATATACTTCTCTGAAAACAATGTTTGAAAAACTAAACAAAACCAGAAAACACTTGCAAGTCACGAAAATCTTCAAAAGTAATTGTTTACTGTTTTGCTGGCAATATGCTTCAATTTGAGACTGGGATTCCCAAAGTGGCTATCAGGAAATTAAAAAGTTAAAAGTACATATTCAATATAAAATGATGCTATGGGAGGACTTTGCTAAATAAGTTCAATGGCTATTTGTTAGGATAACTGAATTAAGTGCTGAGTAATGTGATGAAAAATCTTTGAAAGCATGTCTTTCCCCTAAAACAAACCTCTTTTTCACATTATCTCCTAATATGGCAAATCTCCAACTGAGGAAGAAATAACCCTTCCTACTGGCTATAAAGAACTACCACTTCTGAACTAATCTCTGTATTAAACTTTATGTCAAATCCACCAACTTTGAAGCCACGATTTTATGATTCAAAATATGTAAAAGCTATTACTTAGATTGATACACATCTTCTTAGAAATAGTACTCATATTTTATAAAGGAGCAAATTGGAATATGTGTTTTGAAAGCTTATCATGTCAAGTTTTATTTTATTTGGAAAATGAAATTTAGCAGAATAATAATACATAATATTAGATTTCATATTAAAATTTTTATGATCGGGCTTGGGTTATGGCTCAGCGGTAGCACACTTGCCTGGCTTGTGTGAGGCACTGGGTTTGATTCTCAGCACCACATACAAATAAATAAAAGACTGTCAGCAAATAAAAATTTTTTTTAAAAAATTTATGATGTAATATATAAACACTTTTTCATTTTTGAAGAGATGGGTGGCCAAGTTATAGCTGCAAAAACAATTCTGAATGACAGAAGCACAGACATGAAAAGAAGACATATTTAAACAAATGTAATCAAAACAATGATAAAGTCAATGTTTTTGCTAATTACTTCTTATACTCATAGTCTCTAAAGGGAAAGTAAAACATATAAATCCTGGATCTTGTTTTTATTTTCTTTTTTTCTGGCATCCTATTTTGCAATCATCTTTCAAGAAACAGGCATGCTATCCCACAATGAGTCGTGAGTACTAAAAAAAGAGAAAATTGCCAAACACTCTAGTCAAGAGTCTCACATGTCTTATACACTAGGAAGATAACTTAAAACTAAGCAAAATAAAAAAAAAAAACTAAATGGAAGTGTGTATCACTTATTCTTCAATAATTACTAAAAGAACAACACCCAAAGTGAAATTACACTGGTAAATTATGAGCCAACCTGCATCTGGAGACTTGTGGCTTTCATACACACACACTCTCTCTCTCTACCTTTGGAAAAGATACTATAGTCAAATGTGGGCTTCAAACAAAATCTTATCTTCAAGAAAAAAAATTTAGGTTTCTTTATCACTGCCTCACACATCCCATTATATTAGCATCTGTTAATTTCTCTTCAAACTACGTGATAATGGCCGACAATCTTATTATGGTTCATCTATATTTCTATAGATCTGGCATGCAATCTTCCATTTGTTACAGGAGCCTTTATAACTGACAGTTGCTCTTTCCAGACAGATGCTGTCTCAGTAATCTCTATTTGCTGTCACACATTAGTTTGCCCATCTCACCCCGTGATCTTCCGTGCTGGGCTGTGGACCAGTTGGATATACTTTTGCTTTCCAAACATTAATGGAAAGTGTCCGCCTGCCCAAATCAGAGTAACTAACCTGGATCCTAATGATAGATTTATCCTGATAACATCTTTAACTTCACATGCCAAGATGGGTTCCATAAAGAGAAGTTCCTGATAACATAAAAATACTGTGAGGAAAAAAAAATAAACAAGCTTTTGTTCTCTCCCTACCCAATACAGGGGACCAGATGTTCAATAAGATCCCATGTTCCATAATTATTTGACAAACAGAGAATACAAGACAATTAAAGAAATTTTCCATTTGCTACAATAACTACACTAAGAGGAAATAGGAGTGTAGTAAATGTTGTCTACTGAATGGCAGGTGGTGGATGAAAAATTAACAGTTTACCTTTGGTGGACAAAGAAATGGAAGCAAAGCAAAGTCTGACTAATCCAAAAGGTCATTTTCAGCTCAATTTCTTTCACATAAGAAAGCAATGCTGGTAACTTTCAGAACTGGCTGTATTTCTCAAATATTTGTTCCTTTTTCTAGCTCTTCTTAGGGGATGAACAGGGTAGGCCCTAGCAAAATGAGCCATGATTTTAATTGCATAGCCTTTCTCTCTAAGAAGGGAAGCCTGGGTGTACCCTGGATTACCCAGGCCAGACTCTGAGACTGCTTGTATCCACTTTTAGTGAGGTTTACATGTAAAATGGTTTTTAGGCAATATAACTACATGGCAACTAGCCATGCTTTCTCTGTCACTCTATTTGAAGGATCTTGATAAACCTGCAGCTCAGAATGACTGAACAAGAGGGCAAAGAATTCCTCCAGGTATCGTTCTCTTATCTGCTTCATACAGAGCCAAAGGACACCCCAGATGTAAGAGTCAGGAGATTATGCAACTACCCCCTTCTTTTACACTGCAGGACACCAGAGATCCAACCAAGATCACACACCTTATGGTAAAAATAGCAACCAATATGTCCCATCTAGGGTTATTTCAAGTGCCACGTAGTTGGAGGTAAGGGAAAGAAACTGCAGCTTAGCATGTCTAGCCCAGGGTCAAAAATAAAGACTAAAAAGAACTGAGCAGATATTTTCTCCCGATCTCCTCACTACAGCCAGGAACATATTAACGGACACTCTTTTAAATGAATTCCTCCTTTACCCTAAAATGAACCAAATCTATTTGGCTTCCTAAAATATCTGCTGACAACTCTCATTTCAAAAATTGATATGAGTGGCTGTCACATGGTATTATGGCTAGATGCTCCCTTTGGTATGAGAACTGTTGTTTTGTTTCTCTTCTCAAAATATGGACAAGTTTAAAAGAAAATACTGTTACTTGAGAAAGGTAACTAAATTATTCTAACTTTTCTATGTAACTCACTGAAAATAGTTCCTGAGTAGAAAGCAGCAGAGACAGGTGAGGGGCACCAGCACCATTCAGGTCACTGATCCCTCTGTAATCATCTAGAAAAGTGGGTCTCTCCATACACACAAAAGTAAACAAAAATACCTCCCCAAACATCTAGGTCTCCTTCACAGACATTAAGAATAGCATACATACAGTTCTCAGGTGCTACCTTTTATGATCACAACTCCTGTGTAGAACAAGCCCTTACCACGAGGCATTGGGACCTCTTGCCCCTATCACACCTGATTCCAGTCAGATTCACTCAAGGAGCAGTTCTTTTTACAGATAGGGTTGAATAAGCAAAGACCGGCTAAGCAAACTCAGATATGCCGTGATCAACAGCAGAATGTCTTTCCTTTGGAAAAAGTAAGAATAATATCACACTTGTATGCTAACAAAAGTAATGAAAATGGAAAGGACTTTATGCATAACAATTTTTTTCCTATGATTAAAAGGACACTAAATAATAATTGCTTCCAAACGTATGGCTGCTATTAACACATCCATGCTAATAACTCTAGATTCTAAAAGAAAATTTGGAGGGATTTAGGAAAGGATTAAGATAATAAAATTCATTATTTTTTTATATACAGATGGATTGAAAGATAAGAGTAAGCTGAAAAACTGTAGAAAATATTCACCTTAAAGTGATTTCTATTATAAAAATTCATTACATTCTTTAGTTTCTTATTTTAGGGCTTAAAAGTAATATGATACAAAGATGAAAAGTTATTCTTCCATAATTTAAAGCAACATAACTACAAAATAGGGGTTCTTTTTCTATATCATCTATTGGGCTTCATAATCAACATTATTTCATGCCACATTCCTGGAACTGACCATTTCATCTGGCACATTACATGTGGGTAAATGTACATTCCTTGGTCACAGTCAGGAAGAACACATTTTTAGCCTAAGTGGAAACACAGTTTTCAGAAATGTGCATTAACTGATCTGTAACACAGGCACATACATCTGAATTTCTAATATACTCAATATTAAGGAGTGCAGCAAGAATTGCAGAACATAAACTTTAAGTTCAGAAATAAATTTCTGTGTTAATGCACAGGAAATTAAAATTAAGTGCTAAAGAAGGTAAAAGATGTGCCTGTGTGTGTCTGCAAATAAATATCCAAGTTACATTTGGTAAAACTCTGAGAAGCACTGCATAGTTAATGTAATGCATGACCGATATTTTGACTTGTAGTTTTTGCATTTCCTGGAAAGCAGTCTGCTTTTTAAAGACCTGGAACTTTAAAAAACTTACTGTTAGAAAGCCAGAAACTAAAAACATACACATGCATATATTACAGTTTTTAAAATTTGAAATCATTGTCATCTCTATAATACAACAACCTCAGAATCAGTAATAAAATAAATAAGCAAACCCACAATCAAAGAAAATTAATTAAAAAACACACAATGCCAAGGAAAATGTTCTACAAATTATCTTATTAAGAATCTAATCCTCAAATGATGTAATGACATAGAATATACATTCCTTCAAATATTTAAAATATTTTAGTAACATATAACATTATGTATTATAACTGAATATTTCATATATATCCTATGATTTTTATCACAGACCATACACATATGCTATCCAAGTATAAAAAATTCAATATAACATCATACATACAAAGTATAACTTTACTTGACCAAAAGGAAATGGTAAATACATTGTAGTATATATTTTTAATGTAATAGCAAATTAACATAATATAAATATAAAATAAAATATAGGTTCCAAAAATCGATCCTTACTATGGGTAATATACTCTGAGAACTGCAGCCACTTCTGCCTTGATATGGAGGCCTATAATTCTGGTACAGCTGCATGCCATACTGCAAAATAAATAAACAAAAATGCAATGTTACAACTTTTACTTTACTACACTGGTAATTCAATTAAAATATTCTTTCATTAATCATATGTTATCAGTATAAAAATAATTTTGTGATTTTTCTTCAAACAGACAAGTAAAGCAACCAAAATTTTGACAGAAAACCTTTTAATGCCCTTCAACAATACATTTAAAAAGATATGTTTTTTACTTTGTTTGTTTTACTGAGGCTCCCAAATTAAGGTCTTGCTCACTAGTATTACTTTATACTGGCATTACTTTATACTGAGACTTACATTTCTACTTACATACTTACATAGTTTGCAGCAAAATCATTTGGACTGGTACCTTGTCTCATGAAAAGAAAGCTCACTTGGGAAAGGTGTCATGCTGTACATTCCAAAGATTTAAAAAAAACCTCACATATGTCCTAAGCAACACT